TTTTGTTTAATTTTGATGATTACAAATGACAACAAATGAAAATCTCAAATTCATCATATCAGAAAATTAGAATATTACTGAAGACCAATAAAAACAAAGGATTTATAGAAATGTTGGCCAACTGAAAAGTATGAACATGAAAAGTATGAGCATGTACAGCACTCAGTATTTAGTTGGGCCTCCTTTGGCCTGTATTACTGCAGCAATGCGGCGTGGCATGGAGTCGATCAGTCTGTGGCACTGCTCAGGTGTTATGATAGCCCAGGTTGCTCTAATAGTGGCTTTTAGCTCTTCTGAATTGTTGGGTCTGGTGTATTGCATCTTCTTCTTCACAATACCCCATAGATTTTCTATGGGGTTAAGGTCAGGAGAGTTTGCTGGCCAATTAAGAACAGGGATACCATGGTCCTTCAACCAGGTACTGGTAGCTTTGGCACTGTGTGCAGGTGCCAAGTCCTGTTGGAAAATGAAATCTGCATCTCCAAAAAGTTGGTCAGCTGCAGGAAGCATGAAGTGCTCTAAAACTTCCTGGTATGTGGCTGCGTTGACCCTGGACCTCAGAAAACACAATGGACCAACACCAGCAGATGACATGGCACCCCAAACCATCACTGACTGTGGAAACTTTACACTGGACTTCAAGCAACGTGGATGAAGTGCCTCTCTTCTTTTCCTCCAGACTCTGGGACCTTGATTTCCAAAGGAAATGCAAAATTTACTTTCATCAGAGAACATGACTTTGGACCACTCACCAGCAGTCCAGTCCTGTTTCTCTTTAGCCCAGGCAAGACGCTTCTGACGCTGTCTGTGGTTCAAGAGTGGCTTGACACAAGGAATGCGACAGCAGAAACCCATGTCTTTCATACGTCTGTGTGTGGTGGTTCTTGAAGCACTCACTCCAGCTGCAGTCCACTCTTTGTGAATCTCCCCCACATTTTTGAATGGGTTTTGTTTCACAATCCTCTCCAGGGTGCGGTTATCTCTCTTGCTTGTACACTTTTTTCGACCACATCTTTTCCTTCCCTTCGCCTCTCTATTAATGTGCTTGGACACTGAGCTCTGTGAACAGCCAGCCTCTTTAGCGATGACCTTTTGTGTCTTGCCCTCCTTGTGCAAGGTGTCGATGGTCGTCTTTTGGACAACTGTCAAGTCAGCAGTCTTCCCCATGATTGTGTAGCCTATAGAACTAGACTGAAAGACCATTTAAAGGCTTTTGCAGGTGGTTTGAGTTAATTAGCTGATTAGAGTGTGGCACCAGGGGCCATCAATTTTGAACCTTTTCACAATATTCTAATTTTCTGATATGATGAATTTGAGATTTTCATTTGTTGTCATTTGTAATCATCAAAATTAAACAAAATAAACATCTGAAATATATGAGTTTGTATGTAATGTATGAATATAATATACAAGTTTCACTTTTTAAATGGAATTACTGAAATCAATCTACTTTTTCATGATATTCTAATTTTATGACCAGCACCTGTACTCTGAGCTCCTCCTGTGGAACCACAGTCAGTGGTTTCCCCAGCTCCTGATGCGGAGCCGCAATGGGCGGCTTCCACTGTTCCTGACCAGGAGCCGCAATGGGCGGCTTCCTCAGTTCCTGACCAGGAGCCGCAATCGACGGGCTCCCCTGTTCCTGACCGGGAGCCGCAATCGACGGGCTCCCCTGTTCCTGACCGGGTGCCGCAATCAGCGGCCTCCTCTGTTCCTGATCCGGAGCCGCAATCTGCAGCCTCCTGCGTCCCTGTGGAGCCACAATCGGTGGTCTCCCCTGCTCCTGGGGTGGAGCTGCAGTCGGCGGCTTCCTCTGAGCTTCCTCCTGAGCTGCAGTCGACGCTTTCCTCTGAGTCTCCTCCTGAGCTGCAGTCGACGCTTTCCTCTGAGCCTCCTCCTGAGTTGCAGTCGACGCTTTCCTCTGAGCCTTCCCCTGAGCCACAGTCGTCGGTTGCTGCTGAGTCTGTTGCTGTGTCGCTGAAGCAGAGACGGCGTCCTCCTCGACGCTTCCCGCAGCAGCTGAGTCGGCGTCCTCCTCGACGCTTCCCGCAGCAGCTGAGTCGGCGTCCTCCTCGACGCTCCCCGCAGCAGCTGAGACGGCGTTCACCTCGACGCTCCCCGCAGCAGCTGAGACGGCGTTCTCCTCGTTGCTCACCGCAGAGGCAGAGACGGCGTCCTACTCGGAGCATCCTACAGCAGCAGAAACGGCGCCTTCCCCGGAGTTCGCAGCTGCAGAGACGGCGTCCTCCTCGGCGCTTCCCGCAGCATCTGAGTCGGCGTCCTCCTCGGCGCTTCCCGCAGCAGCTGAGTCGGCGTCCTCCTCCGCGCTTCCTGCTGCAGCAGAGAAGGCGTCCTCCTCCATGGCCCCTGCCGCTTCTGAGACTCCGGCCATACGGCCGGCCACCTGAGACTCTGTCCTGCTGCCGGTCACACGGCCGGCCACCTGAGACTCTGTCCTGCTGCCGGTCACACGGCCGGCCACCTGAGACTCTGCCTTTCCGCCGGCCCCATGGCCGGCCCCCAGAGACTAAGCCTTGCTACCCGGCCCCACGGCCGGTCCCCTGAGACTTTCCTGTCCTCGCCCACCCCGGGTGGGTTGTTTTGATTTTTGGACTCTGATCTGTTTTTTGTGCCTGGCCCTCCGTGCCTGTTTCCCCCTCTGTTCGCCCTAGGTGGGTTGTTTTTGTTTATGGTTTTTTGTTTTTGGGCGTCTGGTATCCGCCCTTGAGGGGGGGGTACTGTTGGGATCCAAGGTTTGCCCTCCAGAGGGCGGTGTGGATCCCATTCTTTTTGGCTTCTGTTTCTGTTTGGATCCAGGGGTTTGCCCTCCAGAGGGCGATATGGATCCTTCCCTGGGAGCTGGTTCTCAGCGCACAGCTGTTTCCCATCAGCTCTGCTCATTAACCTCTCCCCATATAAGCTGTGTCTCAGCTCCACTCGGAGCCGGATCGTAGCCATCTGTTCCCAAGCCATGTAGCCTGTGTTACCCACAGCCATGTGTTAGCCATTGTTTCCAAGCCTTGTATTCCCAAGCCATGTGTGCCCTGTACGGTCATAGCTTCCTCATGCTATGCCCGTTTCTGACACAGGGACTCTGTTGAACTCTGCCTGTCTGAACCAGCGAACCTGTGAGTTTTTGAGTTAGTTTCTGATCCCTGAGTTAACCTGTTTTCTGTGCTCTCTGCCTCCCAGGTGGGAGACCTGAGCCAAATAATAAACATTGGACTTTATCCTGCCTCTGAGTCTGTGAGTTCTGCATCCTTGGGCTAGCAAACCAACCTCGCATCATGACACCTGTGAATGATTTGGATATACTTTTGTCACCTCCCCCACCGAAAAAGGGTCTTATTTCATGTTTGTATGAGAGATTGTGCGGTTTTCGTGAGTCCCCAATTCTTTCAATCAAAGCGGCATGGGAGGAGGACTTGGGTTTTCTGTTTTCAGATGACTTGTGGGATAAAATCCTTTACCGTGTACATGGTTCGTCACTGTGTGCCAGACATGGACTAATTCAGTGTAGGGTCCTGCATCGCACTCACTGGACTAAGGCCAGGCTTTCTAAAATGTACCCAAACGTTAGCCCGGAGTGCGATCGTTGCCATCAAACACCTGCCTCACTGATCCATATGCTTTGGTCATGCCCATCACTCAAGCAATATTGGACAAACATTTTTGCAGCCTTGTCTGAAGTAGTCCATATGTCCATCCAGCCTGATCCCTTAACTGCATTGTTTGGTGTACTTTCTGAGACGGTTTCTTTGTCAAGACTTAAGGCTGATCTGGTGTCATTTCTCACTCTGTTGGCGAGGCGTAGAATATTGCTGTGCTGGAAATCAGCTTTACCTCCCTCATTTGAAATCTGGATTAAAGATGCTTTACACTTTAGTAAACTTGATAAGATTAAATTTACCCTACGAGGTTCCACAACTAAATTTTTAAAGATTTGGCAACCCTTTTTTGATTTTATTCAGACATTGCCGTCCCGTATGGTGCCCAACTAAGTTTTGCTTTTGCCTGACCTTTCTATTTGCATTATCATATTATTTATCAAATTATTTATTCTGTCATTAATACCCATTGATGCCCTTTTTTTCTTAAATCCTCCCCCCCCCCCCCCCACCTTTTTTTTTTATTTTTTTTATTTTTTGTCTCACTATTTGGGAAGGCTTATCCATGTGTACTGTACGACTTATGTTCGGTTCTGTTATAGAAAAAAAAGTCTACATATCTTGTTCTTATATTTTTGCACATTTTGTATTTTGATGTTAAAACCTAATAAAAAGATTAAAAAAAAAAAAAAAAAAAAAAAAGTAGTTACTTTCTTATTTTTAATGGAACTGATTTTTGTTTTGTTCGTAACATTAAATTAGTGTTTCTAAGACAATATGTTTCATTGCCATGTATATGAGGATAATACTGCATATAACATTGTCACTGTTGTGACTTTAACAGTGGAGAACCCGAGGGTCCACAAGCGGGAAGCTGAAATGTATGTACCTCGGAGATTAATTAATGGATCACAACATTAGACCTACTACTATGCAAACAGGTGGCAGCTTCACTCACGTGTTTCTCTAAATTGCAAACTTTTCAAGGGAGGGTAAAATTCCTGTGTAGTTAACAATCAGGTTTGTCATATTTAAAAATGAAACAAGAGCTGCAAAGTGTCTGTATAAAATGTAAGAAGTATCTAAGGAATTGTTTGTTAAAAAAGTGCAAAAATATACTTTACCTTTCTTCTTGCTAACATACTGATATTTCCATGTATCTTAACAGCTTTTTAATGGGCTAACCTTAAGTGAATTTAATCAACTAATGCACTGTAATATAAAGGTTAAACATATAAAGGTTTTAGGTATCTGGTTAGATATTATATCAAGATTTTCCAAGCCTATATTCATATCAAATCAAGTCTGATCTCTAAGCAGCAAATTATAAGCAGCAATAAAAAGCTGTCTCTTTAAATCTGATCTAAACAAATGAGAAAAGGTTGATTTTACCTGCAGGATTGTCTCTGCTGATCTGAGTCTAACCTTAGGCATGCAATGATATATATCTGAGTAATTGCACTTTTCAGATTCTCCACCCCTGTATTTTGAACCTGCCTTTGTCGAACCTGTTTACATTTGTTGAACGGTACTGCAACCATATTGCATCTCCATGTGTTCTTTTAGAAAAATAGCATTGGAACACACCCTGGATATGTTCGATATCAGAGGCTGCATCCTCTAACGACCCGGTCTATCTGGACTGGGTCCTTCAAGGTCCATGAAAAAAAGGAGACCAGAAGAGTTTTGGCTATGGATTCAAATAGGTCCAGCCTTCTCTGGCTTTCATCAGCCCTATGCTCTGTCGCCTAGCAAATGTAACAGTTGACACACAAAGTAGGCAAAGAATGGATGCTGAAGTTCTCACTACTGTTCTGGGTGCTAATAACATTTTCGAGGAGCTTCAGTAGTAGTACAGTCATCATGAATATCATATTTTTAGTCCCAACAATGCACAGACAGTACAATCTGTGCTTTAATGTCATCCAAACCCATTTGCACAGGGACAGATAAAACATTTCAATAAATCAAACGTTACCCGCCACATATCTGACTCAATAACCATTTAAACTATCTTCATTGGTTTCAGATGGAACTATTCACATACTTGTATTATATTAGACTCCAATATCCACCACTGTTTGGTGCTATTAACCCTTTTCCTCTGAGCACCGAGCAGCCAGCTTGCTTGGACTCGCAATGAATCACGGGATACCCAAGGCTACGTAGGATACATCAGACCCGTCCTTTAAAATGGGCAAAAAGAAGGCTGCATTTTTCAGCCGCACAAAGAGGAGCCTTCCAATCTGAACAGCCCTCAGCGCCGTGCTATGACGTAATCGGCCCATGAATTTGGCCTTTGGAGGATGCAGCCACTGAATTTGAACTCAGCAACTGTTTGTTTCTCACCTCCCCTAAAGTTTTATTCTCATCTGCACAAGTAAGCATTTCACATCCTTATTATCATGCAGACGAGGCTCCTCAGAACATTACAGTAAAACATTCAAAACCCATGTCAGTGTGAATAGGAAGGCAATTATACTTGCACAATGGCTCCCCCAAAGCCGGACATACACTGTGTGATTTTTTTTAATCGTTGCATGCAGCTACTGCTCACACTGCATGACGAAACCGCAGGGTTTTGTCGTACAGTGTGAGTTTCCAGCTCACGATTTATGTTTGACCCTACGCTCTGATGCGATCTACCTGCTCACACTGTACAACTAAAAAGTACGTCTGACTCAGCTCCGCAGTGAGATGGAGCTGCTCTGACTCGTCTATCCGGAAGCCAAAGAAATAGAAGAGAAATATAAAGCTTGCAATTAATGCAATTTTTTGCTGAAAGCCCTAAAAAGAACAGGCAATGAAGTAATTGGACAAAGACACGGCTGATGAAACATAGCTACTGCGGTCCGTCAATTTTACAGAAATAACTCCATTTCACTCATTGCACCTCTGCCATGCTTCTGTGTTTACATCTGAGAGGAAGAAGAAAAAGATGAATCCTTGTTTGCCTATGTGCACTGAGCGAATTGCCCACGACGATCCTTACGATTCCTGATCGGGAGGTGGCCGTGAGAGGCTGATCGCCCCTCGTAACCCCCTGTACACTACTCGACTCATGGCGCACGATCAGGCTGAAAGGCAGGCCAATGGAAAGGTTCTCACACGACTGGAAAATATTTTTTAATGGAATCTAGAAGGTGTGACAGCAGCGGCACAGGCTCTGGATATAGAGAAAGTCATTTTGAAGTAATGGGTCCTGGAATATGGAATATAAACCAGAATAAAGTAATAGTAGTCAACAAAAATTATGGCTACCTGACAATTTCTCTCCTTCCCCTTACTCAGGTGAGTTTGCACCTTTTTAAACTCTCACACCTGCACTGTTTCATTATTCAGGTGGTGTATTTCAACTTACTTCCATTCATTTTTACAGCCTAACCCTGACACCACATGTAAACTAACCATTACGAGTACATGCATGAACCTAACCCAAGCTCAATTCACACCTTGGCTCTAAATTTAACACCTACGCCTGCGTCGCAGGATCAGAAAGTATCTTAACTTTCGTTTCAACAATGTTTGTGATGTCAATAAATGTTTTTCATGCAAATCTCAGACACGGCTCCTCCAATGGTCTTTCATTTGCAAGGTAACTTCCTTATGACTTCCAGCATGTTAGAGGGTGTGTCAAAGTCATGTAGGTACTATATTTTTTCCACACAGCTGTGAAGGAAAATATTGCATTCCTTTGGCTATGACAACGCTCTAACAATATAGGCTGATAAAATTTCCATAATGCTACTTTACTAAAGCCTTTGCTTTAAAATATCCCCTTTCTGCATCAATATATTGACAGCTTCTCACAAGCTACTTTGTATTACCCATAGTATATTGCTCAACGAAGTACAATTAATCATAGTTATTCCCGTAACATTCTACTCCATTTTCAAATGCTCTGATAAAAGTGTGGTACCTTAGTGGTTTGCCATTAAACACAGGGATTTCTCTTTTTGGAAGAGCAGACAGGCTCTGCTTTTGAATGATTTAATTCTGCTTTCTCATTAAAGGTATATTGGAGGATGTTCTTTTTCCATGTGGATCATTAAAATAAGTGGTCCTTCTAATTGTCAATCATTCTGTTGATATGTTTACGTAAGGCCGTCCTACGTGCTTGTTCCCATTTTCACTTACACTTGGTGAATCTGACAAAAATTGTAAATCTTCTTTTGGAAAGTAAGCTTGTATGAGCGATGCAAACAGCAACTTGTAAACAGCACGTGGAAGAGGAGAAATGGGCTTGTGCATGCTCTCACTCACGTTTAATAGGCGTTCCCTCTCGTGAGCAGGTACAGTGTTGTGCATGTGCATTTTTTCTTTTAAAATGGAGAGGGTGGGTCTTTTCAGAAATTCATAAAAATCCTCCACTATACCTTTAAATAAAACATAATGCTACTATTTGTTATACCAACACTTTCACAGAATGTGTTGCCATACTATGTCGGTGCATTTTCAGACTTTTGGACAGACCTTAAATTATGACAGGGCTCACAATTTAGATACAATTCTGACACATTGGGTAGCAAAGGCATTTAAGGTTTTACTGATGAAGGTAAATTACTACCATGTGCATCTCCCGTCCGCTTAATGGAGAAAGATAGAGAAAACTGATGCATTTACATTCATGGGCTGTGTCTTTTGTGGAAATTCAAAAATATGTTGTTCTTCCTTAATTGCATGCCTTTCTAAAAATAGTTTATGTCTTTCTTCCAAAGCTGTCTGTGAGCTTCAGCTTTCCAGTATGCAGAGGCGCATAAGCACTGGTGTAGTACAGGGTATATGGAGCATATACCCTTTTTTCCAGTCAGCATTGCGTATACTCACTTTTAAACCCCCTAGATTCATGCCTTTCAGCAGTTTCTGCGAGCCAAATGAAAAAGATCGGGTCATGCTGAGTTTAATATTGCTAACCCATAAATTGACATTTACAACACTACCTTAAATGATTTGCCCTCACGACTTGAGATGAACTGGTAAAATTAAGCGAGTTATTCAAACAACTTTTCAATTCCAAATGTCCTCACAAATCAACATTAGCCAGCAGCTCAGGTAGTGTTAGCGATGCTTCACCAGTGCAGTTAAGACTGTTGACACCTACACTATCCCCAGCTCATCAGTGTTAATTGAATTACTAGTGTGAATTTATAATTTTCTTTAATGGGAGGATTAGTAAACATTCAAGCACAACTGTACGTACAACTATATGTACACACACAAACACACCTCAGTGAGGCCAACGTAGAGCCAAATTAAGAACACTGTCCAAATACCCGATACCTGTCTAAGACCACCCTTTCAGAGACATAGACAGGTACCAGGTATTACAAGCAAACAAAGAAGCCAAACGACTGCCCAATCCTAACAGATGGACTTGTTCGTCTGGTTTAATTTGCATGTTTTCTAAGCCAAAACAAGGCTTTGTTTGTGGTTCACTCTATAAAAGCTGGAACTGAATGCTTTTTCTGAAATTTTGAATTGAATGGGCTTCCTGGATGGGAAGCGAAATGTCTTCAAACTTGGAAAAAAAAGTCCAGTGGATCGTGTTTTAACTTTTTTGGATTGAGCTTCCATCTCATCCATACAGTGGCCATTGAGGGTCCCTCCTGCTGCTGCCAAGACATACTCTGTTAAAGAAGGGTAATATCAATACCTCAGTAGAGGTTCAATATCATACCCTACAGTATATTCTGCAAAAATGTTGAGGAATGGGAAGTGAATTATCAGTTACATGTCACCGTGCCTCCAAAGGCCTCCATGAATCCCTCTCTGTGAAGGCAGCAGAAATTGTTTCCTCATACTCTCAATCCTTGATCAGTTACAAGTTATTTATCAGTATAGACCTTAAAAAATTAGTATAACACCATCAACATCTGTTTGGACATCGAGTAAAAAGGGGGTATGAAAGGTTAATAAATATGACTGGACTGTCTTCCCTATTAATTCCCGTTAATGTATTTTTTGGTTCATCAATTGGTAACTCCCATGTAGGGTATTGTTGGGTATTGGGTATTGTTCAAAAATTTTCGGTGCCGGTACCAATACTGATACCTTCACTTCGATACCGGTTCCTGAACGATACTTTTTTCGATACCAGTTTTAAAATATCAATTTGAAGAAAAAGAAAATTACACCACATAATAAAGTACAAATCTTGAGTTTTATTTTAAGCTTTGTTTTTTTTTCATTTACATTTTTCCTCTTACATAATTTTTTTTTCAGTAAAGAAGAACAGTTTCAAACAAGTCAGTGTCTAATATTCATTTACATTGTGAGGACCTTTTTATTTAGCAGTTTTTCTTTAGAAAAATTAACATGTCTGCTTTCTCAGGAGACAAACAAGCCCATTGAATGGGATCCTATTGACAGCGCACCGCTGGTTAGGGGGGTCTGAGGGGCTCCAACAGAAATAATATTGGCAGACAGGATGAACTGACTGCACTGATTAAGTTTTCAGGT